AGGGGCCCACCCTACTCTAGTAGTATCTTGATGTGGACTCCCCAAAATTGATGTATCCAAGCTCAAGCCCCAAAGTGACTGTATTTGAACATACGGCTTTATCAGCTAATTAAACTCAAATGAGATCATAAGGGTGGAGACCTAATCTCATAAGAAGAAGAGAGAGATCTTCTGCTCTTTCTGCCATGTGAGGACACAGTGAAAAAGTAGCCAACTGCAAGTTAGGAAGGGGGCCCCTCACCGGGAACCAAGTTGGCCAGCACCCTGATCTTGGACTTCCCGATCTTCAGAGCTATGAGGAAATGCATTTCTGTGTTTAAGCCATCCAGTTTCTGGTATTTTGTTCTGATAGCTTCAGCAGACTAAGACAGACCTCCTCCTAACTTAACTAAGTACATTGCAAGACAGTCCCATTCTGAGGTGCTGGGCGTTAGGACTTCAATATATACGTTACAGTGTCAACGCATAATGCCGTCCACACCAGAAAGCAAATGGGAATTTAACTACTCTCTACTCATCTAGATCCCAATAACTAATTCCAAATATCCCACATTTTTCTGCTGGCCTGTGGCCTTCAACCTTCTGTCTAGTAGAAAGTTCTGTCAGTTAGGGTTTTTGGTGTGCAGGTAACAGAAACAGACTTGGCTCCAGCCTCCAACCACCTTGGGTTCCTCTGTGTCTCTGCGTAAGATTCAAATTCCCAGGAGTGCCTCTGATTGGCCCAGTCCACATGTGGTAGGGCATTGAGGGTGAGGCACACACACCAGAACCAAGGCAGGGTTTGGGGAAGGGTCATTGCCTAAAGGCAGTGATTCTGGGTAGAAAGGCCAGCAGGAGCTCTGGGAAGAGGACTGGACTGCTCCATTGAGACCTAGGATGTAAACACAGGCAAACCCCTCCTCCTCTCAGGGTCTCGATTCCTTTTTCATTAACCAGAAGCAACAAGACTTGTCCTGCTCACCTGACAGGTTAGCATCAAACATAAATGAAGACAAGGATGAGCTTGGAATTTAACACAGAGACTTGTTATTACAGCAGCCAGGCACCCGGTCCCTTCTCTCTAATCTAAACAACCACAGCCCTGCAGTTTCCAGCATGAATCATGTTGCCTTCTCTTCTGGAAACCTTTCATGCATCTCTTCCTAAAGACCCCACACTGAATGTGGCATTTCTGTGCAATTGTTTACCATTTCCACATCCCACAAAACTGTCTTCCAAAGAATTTGGGTTTGCCCCATGATAGAAACAAATAGGCCAGGCGTGGCGGCTCACACCCGTAATCCCAGCACTTTGGGAAGCGGAGGCAGGCAGATCACTTGAGATCAGGAGTTCGAGATCAGCCTGGCCAACATGGTGAAACCCCATCGCTACTAAAAATACAAAAATTAGCCGCTGTCAGGACACCGCGGCCACTGAACATATGTCACAGGGCAGGCAGGGCCTCTAATTGGGAAAAAACAAACTATGACCTTAAATAGATGAACTATTTAATAGATTGGTTTTTTAAAATCTGTTTTAGTATTTCCAAGTGCAAGCGCCTTTATTGCTCACCAGACAATGAAGCACACGGCTTAACACAGGAGGAACTACCTGCTGGAGGTTTTGGGGTTTTTGGTTATGATGTTATCAGTTAGGAATGTTTTCAGCTGCAAATAATAGAAAACCTAAGTGTGGTGAAACAAATAGGGGTTCACTTCTCTTACATGACAAGAAGGGTGGCTGTGGATGCTGATTTAGCAGCTCAGTGAGCTTGGAGCCAGCCTTTCCCTGATTCTCTTTGCTTTTATCTCATGATTACAAGAAGGCTGCCTGAATTCCTGGCATCACATCTTTATTCAAGGCAGGAAGCCAGGGGAAAGGGGCTTTCTATCCAGAAAGCCAAAGCTTTTTCTGAAGTCCTCTGTCAGCTTTCATCTCGGTGACCAGAGCTGTGTCCCATGGCCTGGAAGGCAGAGAAAAGAGCACTTGGCTTTTCCAGATGCTTTAGTGAAGGCAGGCAAGGGAGGGAGGAGGGAACTGGGATTGGAAGAGCTAATCCACAGCGAAGGCTGTGGCTCCTTAAATCTTCATTTGTTTACACCAGGCAGTGTAGTATTTTTCAAACTGGAGAACTGTGACCTACTAGGAGGTTGTGAAATCAGCTTCGTGGGTCTCTGAGCAGCATTCTTTTAAAGTAAAATAAAATAGAAAACATTGATGCTCAACTAAAGAGTGAAAGTAGGACTGTTTGTGACACAGCTGTGTTAGTTTTGTATCTAATGACCTACATGTGAGTCTCAGTCAAACAGATGGGGAAGCCGTTGCCACAGTGGGGTGATGTGCAGAGGGAGTTGGGCGTGGGCTCGGGGGTCAGACAGCCTGGGGCACTTGGCCTCTTTGGCTATTTATGGCACACATTTGGGCAAGTTACAATCATCCTTTTAGGTCTATTTCTTCTATTGTAAAAGAGAGAAAATAATATACCCACCTCATTATATGTAAAATATGGGCTAGCACACAGTTTAGGTCCCAGTAATTACCGGAGAAAATGCTGTTGGTATTGGTATCTACTGATAACCAATCGCTGCCAGGCCCCACTTTCATGACCCAATTAGGTTCACTTAAAAGTAGCAACACACTCACATGTAAACCAGAAATGTTAAAATCTCCTCCCCCACAAAAAGTTGACTTTGGCACAGTGCCATCCACCGAATCCTGTGGGATGCTATTAGAGAAAATCCTAGGAAACCTGTTAATTTCCCTGCAGGAGGGCTAACGTGGAGGGTGCAGCTTGTGAGTGATCGGCATGGGGCCAGGAGACCCATGGAAGAAACTTCTCTCTGGCCTGGGTCCCAGGAATTGCTGGGCTTCTTCCGGAAAACTCACTTCCTTTCATCTTTGGGACTGAGCAAATGATGGAGTTGATCCTGTTTCCCTGCTTGCTTTGGCCCTATTAGGAGTTCCTCTCTAGCAGAGAGCACAGGACTTGTGCCAGGGAGAGTATTATGGATGCCTAGCTTTTTTCTACAACCTTTTTCTAAGTCCCCTCTGCCTCAACGATTTCCTCCCGCACTTTTTGTGTCTGCGTTTTTATCACAATGGACTCCTCCCCTGGCCTTGGGCTCCCTTCCCCCAGGGGTAAAGCAGCACTTGAGCATCCCCTCTGTGTGCAGAGGTGACACCACCTCTGCCATCACCAGCCCCAGGAAGGGACTTCCATCCAGCAGCCCCACTGGGTGGGAGCGCCCATTTCTACTGCCCGCATGACTGTCTGTGCAGTTTAGGAATGCCGGGGCTGGGAGTTAGGCTGGGTACACTGTGCGGGGGAGACGCCACCCTGCTCCCTGTGCCTGGCATCTAGAACTGAACACTCTACCGCTATGGGAATGGAACCCAGGGCACGACCATCTCAGCCTGCGGAACGATCCAGCCCAACTGGTGAGAACTCCCGCCCTGGTGTTGGGGGCCAGACAGGGTGCGTGGAGAGGGTCCTTATAACCTGGTCAGTCCCCTAGCCAGAGCAGTCCTACACATCGCTGAGCCCTCTTCAGGTTGAGAATGCTCGCCCTCAGCCCAGCCCTACCCTCAGTCCAGCCCTACCCTCTGCCCCTGCCCTTACCCAGGGAGGGCAGTCCTGGGGGTCCCAGGACAGGCATGGACCAGGACTAGGGTTACCAGCACTGACCTGCCCAGCCTGCCCCCCAGCCCCAGCAAGGGGCTGCAGACCCACAGGCTGGCTCCAGAGCTGCCACCCCTCCACACACAGCCCACGCCAGCTGGGCTCTACAGGATCCTTTTAAACTACGATTCCAAAGCGGGCTGGCCACAGGCAAGAAGCCAGGAGCCTGTTTACACAAATGCTCCCTGCTCAGGGAAGGCTGCCCAAGTCACTCCTTCCTGCTGTCCCCAGACCCGGGCTACTAAGGTCTAGGGGTCCGGAAGGCAGGGTTAGTCCCAGGCAACCACAGGGACGCTCCAGGGGGCTCTGCTGAAGGACAAGGACCTCCTCCTCCTGCATCTCAGCCTCCCCAGCAGCCACAGCCAAGAGCCCTGCCAAGCTGATGGGGCCCACTCCATCAACAAGCAGGTGACAGCTTCTTCAGGTAGGGGGTGGGGCGTGGTCGCACAGGAGACCCGCAGGGTTCCCTGGGATCCAGGGAGGACCTTCATTCCCACATTGCCTCCCACAGTCCTGAGCACCTGAGCAACAAGGAGTTAATATTTTTTGATTATGGCAAAATACACATACAGTTTATCATGCTAACCATTTGAAGTGTGTGGTTGAGTGGCATTAAGTGCACACACACAGTTGTGCAGCCGTCAGCACCATCTGTCTGTCTCCAGAACTCTGTCATCTTCACAAACTGAAACTCTGGAGCTAAATCTTTAAATCTGTTTCATTCGACAAGCTTTTTGTTTGTTCTTTTTTTTTTTTTTTTTTTTTGACGTCCCTGGGTGGGCTCAAACTCATCCAACGGGCTTTGATTGAAGATCTGTTGTGGCTTCCTGGGGGGAACACAGGCAGGACAGACCTGCTCTGAAGGCACCCAGTGGCATGAAGAGGCAAGCCAAGAAGACTCCAGCCAAGAAGGCGGTAGCCCGCTGGCCACCTCGGGGCACGGGAGGGAGGCCCAGGAAGAGGAAGGGGCCAACAGAGACTTCTTGGACCAGCCCTTGGTTGGTGGGAGGAACTTCTTGGCTCGGGGGATGGGGTGGCTGGGGGGATTCAAAGGGAATGTTTTTCCTCTGGTCAGACTGGACCTGATAAACAGTGCAGGGGGCCGGCAGGGCAGGGGGACCCAGGGCTGAGGACATGAGGGGATGGTTCTGTGAAAGTCCCAGCTTTCCAAACCACAGAGGGAGGCAGAAATATGTGAAGCATGTGTGGCTCTGAGGGCCTCTCACCCTCGGTCCATCGACCCCTGGACAGACTTCAGATAAATTACAAGCTGCCCACAAGCACTTTGGTGGGAATCTTGTTTTTCCTCTTTCAGACAAAAAGCAGATTTGCTGACAGATTAGGGAGCAGGGGGCTGGGGTGAGGAGGAGGTCACCCAGGAGCACAAAGCCCATTCGAGAAGCATTAAATCACCAGTTAATGAGGTGCTGCTATGCCTTGGTGCTGGGGAGGAGAGGAGTAGTTCAGGGGAAGCCTCTGGAACTCATGGGAACGACTGCTAGGCCTGGTTTTTCCCGTGACTCCCAAGGACCTAGACTGAACCGGTGGGGCCTGCGGTTCTCATTTCATTCCCCAGGCATTAATTGCCTATGAGGGGGCGGAATGATTACCACTGCTGTATGTCTGAGGACACTGAGACACACAGCAGTGGCTTCTCCAATGTCATAGCCTAGTGAGTGATGGAGTGGGAATCAGGTTGGAGTTTGGAACCAAGTTACCCTCTCTCCTGTGACGCCACTCCCCTGCCTGCTTCCCCACCCCGTCACCTGCTGGGTCACCTACCACTAACCAGCCCTCATATGGCACCTGCTCACAGGTCACGCCTTTGGCTTTTACAAGGGTATACAGTTGGCACAACAGACATGATTGCACTCATTTCACAGAACAGGGTCTGAGGCCTGGAGAGGCTTTGGGTTTGCACCAAATTCATGACAAAAATATATCTAAATATGCAAATGTGTGGCGCAGTATAGAGGACTGGTGAGGAACAAAAAGGATCAATCAGCCAGCCAGACCTGGGTTTTAGTCCTGACTGCTGTGTGACCCCGGGCAAGTTGCTTAACCCATCTGTGTCTAGCTCTCCTCGTCTGTACAGTGGTGATAAGCGTATCATCATCTTGGCATTATTGTACGTGATAAGTAAAATTACACAGATTCCAGCTACTACAGAGCCTGGCATGAAGTCAGTGCTCCACAAATATCCATCAACATCATCACCATCATCAGCCGTGGGCTAACAGGTGTGAGATGGTGGAGGCCTGAGGGCAGCAGGGTGCCAAGGCCCAAGGAGTCTGTGGAGGGTTGGACGGCTGTTTCAGAAAAGACAGGGCCCTTGCCATGGGTGGTGAGGGCCTCCCGCTGGCAGATATGCCACACAGAAGGATCCACCTCCTAACAAACTGGCAGAGAAATGAAAACTGAGGGCATGATTTTCAGCAAACACTCTCCCGGCTCAGAAACGGTGCAGGTGCATTTCCATGTCGATCGGTTCCAGGCTCAGAGCTTTGCAGTCAGGACAGGTGGCTGAGTTGTTGCTGGTTTTGTGGTGGCCTCTTCCAGTCCTTGATCTGATTGAAGAGAGCTGCTTACCTGGAAGTCCTCAGCTCCGAAGCTTCTAGGGCTCCATGCTCTGTGGTTTGCAGGTGAAAGGAGGAGGGGCTGGAGCATTAGGGGTACAGAGCAGGCCTTCTGTGGACCCGTCTACCACATGGATGGCGGAGGGGATGGTTGCCTAGTGGTTTCATACCTTCATTTGGCCTCAGCCGTCATGGGACAGCCTACGGGGCTCCCACAGTGGTCATGGCCCCTCCGTCTTTGCCACCCAGCTCTTGGTGGGGCATTGTTTTGGGTGAATTGAGTGACTCATCGTGACTCTTTTCCCATTGCTCTCTCAGTGAGGGATGGGGAGGGGTTGGAGGACACCCAGGAACGGGACAGCCATCCCCTGGCCCACCACATTCAGGCCACCACACTCTGCGGCAGAATCAGCCCCTGAGATTTTGTTTTTCCTTTGGGAACCTGTGTTCCCTCCCTGAGCGCCCTGTCATACATCCATCACCCTCTGGGCCTGTCAGTGTGTCTCAGTTCAATTCCGATAGTAACCCAGGGCTCCTGGGCTTTCCCTGGGAGTCCTGAGCCCGGCGACCAGCCTAGAGGGCTGATCCCCAGTCCAAACCCCTCCGCCTACTCAGAAAACCGGAGCAAGATGTGTGGTGAGGAGGACCCGGGAACTGAGAGGCCAGTCGGGAGCCAGCTGGTTGGGGGGCCTCTGGGATCTCTGTGGGGGATTAAAGGTTGGACCAGGAGCCAGGTCCCTGACCAGAACGCTGTGGGCACATGGGTGATCCAACCCATGCACCTGGCCCCCCCCCACCCCGATCCCCTCATCCAGCCAGGCCTCGGTCCAGGCATAGGCTGTGTGCACATCTTTGGGGTCTCCATGTCCAGGAGCCCCGTGCTCAGGGACCTCGGGTCCAGAGCCCCTGCGTTCTCCTCAGAAGCCCAGAGCACTCCATCTGTTGCCTCCTTCTGGAGTGGGTTACGGTTTCCTCACAGGCAGCCTCCATTCAGGACTCTCCTAGGGGGCTGCTGGCAGCAGGGAGTTACCTGGGCCACCCCTAGGGACCAGAGTTCCCCCTCGAGGGTCCTTTCCTCTCTTCCCTGTGAGTTGGAAGTGTAGGCATGGGTGGGGAGGCAGTGGGGGGATACTTTTGGGGATGTGGACCCTCTTATGCTCAGGAATCCCACTGCTTGGGCCGAGTATCTCCTTCCAGGACAGGCTTCTCCCTCCCTTCCGTCCCCCAGGGGTGGGGTGTCCCCTCGAGATTCAAGCCCACCCCCACAGGAGGACCCAGTGTTCTGGAGAGGGCCCAGGCCTGGAGGAATTCTGCAGGCGGGCGCTTGGTGCTGCACGAGGTGAAGACCCGAGCCAAGGCTGCCGGTTCTGGGTCTGCGGGCCCCACTGCTCCAGGGGCTACAGCTGCAGCAGACACGCCCCATTTCCCTTTCTCCCCGAAAGCCCCTCCATTCCCACAGAGCCCACCTGTTCAAGCTAAACCCCCACTCCGACACTCACCACCACTAATTTTTTTCTCTTTCGTAGGAGAGGGGTCTGCCCTGGGTGCAAACCATCCTTCCAGAGCGGTCGCCCTTAGAAACTCCGAGGCCAAGATTAGCCATGAGGATAAAACCCAGAGATCAGACACAGAGACCCGGGGTCAGGCCTTTGGCCACGTGGCCTGGCAGCCTCACCTTGCTGAGTCACAGAGAGGCAGAGCCCCAAGCGAGCCTGGGGAGCCCCGCACCAGCCTGGGTTCCGGCCCTTCCCTCTCCTCATTGCTTCTCATCACCTCTCCCCACCACTCTCCCCCCTCTGGCCCAGGGGGTCCCTGCGAGTCCAGGAAAGCGCCCTGGATCGTCCGGCTCCTCCCAGGGCTGGGACATCCATTGCCAAGAGAGCACTCAGAAGCCGCCCATTGGCTTTGAGGACTTTTATTGCCCAAGGTCCTGAGGTCTGGGTGGGACCGCAAAGGGCTGCCCCTGTCCCCAGAGCTGTGCCTGGCCATCCTGGTGGGAGGGCTCGGCTAGAAGAAGTTGACCACCCTGCGGAGCGACTGCACCCGCGCGCTGTGGGCCTCCCAGTCGGAGAAGCTGCGGAAGTCGCCCCTCTCCACCACGTACATGCGGCCGCGGTAGTTGGGCTCCTCGTACAGGACCCACCTGGAGGCCAGGGGAGCAGGGATCAGGGGCCGCTGGGAAGCCCCCCTGGACTCCGGACAGAAGAGCTTGCACAGCCTGGCCACCCAGCAACCCCTCCTGGCCGAGTGGCCCCTTCACTCTGGGCTACACGAACGCACCCACGGTGCCCACCTTGGCTTTTATTTCCTTCCTCAGTGCCGTGTGGGGTCCGTGCAGGGGTGTGACACGTGTAGGGACAGGCCTAGTAACGTCCACATTTTAAAACTGACCAGTCCTGGCCGGGTGTGGTGGCTCATGCCTGTAATCCCAGAACTTTGGGAGGCCGAGGCAGGCAGATCTCTTGTGGTCAGGAGTTCGAGAGCAGCCTGGCCAATGTGGTGAAACCCTGTCTCCACTACAAATATAAAAATTAGCCGGGCGTGGTGGTGCATGCCTGTAATCCCAGCTACTCAGGAGACTGAGGCAAGAGAATTGCTTGAACCAGGGAGGCGGAGGTTGCAGTGAGCTGAGATCTCGCCACTGCATTTCAACCATCCTTGGCAAGGATGCACTGCCGCCATCACTGCACGCCCCACGCACTCCTGTTCCCTGATAAGGACCACCTTGCACAGACAGTGCCCCCAGCACCTGACGGGGGGCCTGGCACAGAGGGCACCATTCATTCAGTGAATGCCAGTGGGTTCCCACATGTGTGCCCAACATGTCAGGTACCAGAGGTGCCATGGTCACATGACATAGTTCCTGCCCCCTCCTGCCCTCATGGGGCCTCCCCTGCAGAGGAAATGGGCTGTGGGGGTACAGTTGCACCGAGGAGCCTGCAGGGCACAGAGGAGGGTCAGGGAGTCCCAAGTGGGGCCCCTTCCTCTCCTCCTCCCCTTCTGCACACCTCCGGGGTGGCCAACAACAATCCAGAGAGCAGGAACAGTCAGGACAAGTCTTTACGGAGCCTGGAGGACCTGGGGCTGGTGGGGGCAGGAGAGAACACAGCCCTCCATCACCCAGGAAGCTGTGGGCCCGGCCCAGAAAAGCAGGAAGGTGTGGTGGGGAGGGAATGGGGGACCAGGAGGAAGGGACTGGAGGTCCAGGGTAGTGGCCTCTGCCTGGGAAGGGGCATGTGATACAAGGAAGATGCCTCAGGACAGCTCGGAGCAGGGGCTGGCCCGACCCTGTCCTTCCCTCACCATCTCTCAGACGAGCGAGGCTTGTCACACTTGGTGCCTGGCACAGTCTGCTGCCTCGAGGGTTGGCGCCAGGAAGGAAGAGAGAGAGGCAGAGGGTGTGAGCCAGCCTGGAGCACCTGCTGGGGGACTCAGAGCAGGCCTGGTCCAGCCTGGACCCCACCCTCATGGCCCCCCGCGTCCATGCTCCTCCACACCTAGAGCTTTCTGACCCCACACCTATGCCGTAGCTGGGGCCTCAGAGGCACCTCAGGGAGTCAGCTGGTCCTTTCCTACCCTGTGGTGGGCAAGAAATACCCTAAGCCATGTCCTGGGCCACATGAGGGTGCTCACATGGACACCCCCAAAAGGAGGGGGCAGGGAACCGCCCATCCTCCCGTCCCCTGTCCTGGCTGTGGCTACTGGGAGGAGGCAGAAAGGGGAAGGGGCAGGGGCCTGTCCTGCCCACATGAGCACCGTGCCCTTCCCCAGGTGGGGGTGGTTGGGGGCAGAACGCCAGCACATTTTCCTCCGAAAGCCCACCAGGACATGGATCTGAGGGGACGGGTCATGCCTGGGCTGATGTGGGACCCAGAGGGAAGGAGTCTTGCAGTGGGAGGTGGTGGAGGGGCCCTGCCTCGCCCACTCCCCAGACCCCAGGAAACGCCTCCTAGCAGTGTCCCCTCCAGATCCAGGGGATCCGGGGGCGTTACCTCCTTGACAAGGGCTTACATTTGTGTAAGAGTTAGAGTCTTAGGCGGCAAAGGCTGAGCACCTGGGCCCCCACCTGGGGGACTGACGGCTGGCTCCTCGCAGGGACGGTGGGGACTGAAGGAGACGGACTGCGTGCCCCTCAGTCAGAGAAATGTTCATCTCCACCTTCTCCACCTTCCTTCTCAACAAGCCCCGGAGTGCTGGGGTGGGCGGGGGGATTGTGTCTCTGGCCTCAGGACATCCTCCATGCAAAGGTGTGACTTGGGCCTTACAAGACACAATTTAGCCAGCAAGTTTTCCAGGGCAAATTCTTGTTTTGGAATGCCACCCCTGGGCTCCAGGTGCCACCAATTTAGGGCAAAATGCAATTTCATAAAATGGAATCCTGGAGCTAGCTAGAGTGACAGAAACAGCAGATTTCTGCCACTATCAGGCCACCAGGGAAAGGTGGGATGTACACAGTCCCTCCTATCCCTGGGAACTGGTTCCAGGACTTCCCTTGGATGTCAAAATCCAAGGATGCTCAAGTTCCAGATATAAAATGTCATTGTATTTGCATATAACCCACGCGTATCCTCCCATATATAGTAAGTCCTCGCTTAACCCCATCAGTAGGTATTTGGGAACCGTGGCTTTCAGCACGCGATATATAACAAAGCCATTTCTCCCCTCATCAATCTTATAATGAATCCACATTGAACAAGACAACATATTCGAGGACCTGCCATACATCATTTCACTTAAAGTCACAGTCTCCAAGAACCTATCCCCAATGTTAAGTGAGGACTTACTGGACTTGAAATCATCTCTAGATTACTTATGATACCGAATCCAACGTAAATGCTATGTAAATAGCTGTACAGTATCTTTCAGGGAATAATGTACATATTCAGCATAGACACAATTGTGGGGGGATATTTTCACTGTGCGGTTGGAGCCCACGGACATGGGGTGCCACCTGTGCCCACCTCTGCCTTGGCTCAGTCTCTGTCTCCCTGCAGTCCCTCTGCCCCCTGCATCCTCTCCAAAGCTCCCTGGCCTTGAACCTCTGGAGTATAGAAGGCAAATTGTTCTTCAATTGCTTTGATAGGCGCCAGAAGCATGCACAGCCAGCTGGAACCTGTGTGAGGGGCTCTTGGCCTGAGGGGAGGGAACTGAGGCCTGGGAAAGCGGCCAGCTGTGGAACAGGGACAGACACAGGCTTGGCTGTAGTCTCAGCTGTGCCACTCCCACGGGACGGCTGGGCAGTCAGCCTTCTGAGTCTCAGCTTGCCCTTTGTAGAACGGGGGCAATAATATCTACCTGACGTAGAGGTGTGGGCTGGACAATGAAAATAGATGGCCAACTTGAAGGTGCTCAGAGGGTAGTTGCAAAAGGGGAGTATGCGGGAGGGCAGGAGGGGGCACGAAGGCTGCCCTTGGTTGACCAGGAGGAAACCCAAGTGTGGGGCAGACAAACCCGTCTGGGCCTGGGCAAAATCCCCCCAGCTACTCTCTGTCCAGAAGTGAGCCACCCTGAAGTCCGTCTTCCCCCAGAGTCCAGGGCGGTAGGGTTTGCAGAGAGGCCCAGTTCAGGGGTCAGGTTTGCTGGGTAGGCGCTGGGCAGGGTGGGCTGGTCCACCCTTCTCTGAGCAGGTGAGCCCACTGTGGCTTTCCAGCCCATAAGGCCCTGGGGGATCCTTTGGTAAGCAGGTGTCCCCCAGCTCAAGAAAACCAAAGGCAGTCTCTTGCATCAGATCAATCGCAGAGAACTGTGCAGCTTTCAAGGCCCTCTCCTACCTCTGTTCCTGGACCGATGCCCTACAGGGAAGGTCTCAGGATGCCTCTGGAGCCCAGGGTCCCTCTCTGAGGCCCTTCTGGGCCATAGGGGAAGCTCCCCACTGCTTGACTGGGGCAGGTGAGGCAGTGAGGAAAACAGATGGCCTGTGGGACCAGGGACACGCTGCCCCCTGCTGCAGGTCTCATTCTCACCCCACCCACCAGCCCTGCATGGCGGGCAGCCTCCCACGCCTGGTGCTGAAGGGCCTAGCTGGGCCTTGGGGTGCGGCCACATGGCTGGCCTGTACTCACGCTCCGTCCCCGTACACCTTGATGGCGTTGATGCAGTTCTTGGCCCAGCCCCTACTCTGCAGGAAGGGGCAGTCCTCCAGGAACTCCAGGCACTGGCCCGTAAAGTTGCAACCCTCAAAGATTTCCAGGCGGAAATGTTCCCCGTGCTCCAAGACCAAGCGAAAAAGAAGGAAAGAAGGAGGCTACTGTGAATTACCCTCTCCCAGAAATAGAAGCCCCAGGCAGGAAGGAATTAGGAGGCACCCAGGGCACTGGGCACCCCCACCCCACATACTTCAGTCCCGCACTTCTGTTTGTTCTTCCACATGAGATGTTGTTGGAAGAAAGGGTTCTATTACTCTAAAACTGTTTCAAGCCACTGAGCTGGTCTAAGCACCTCTTTCTACAACTAGAAAATCTGAGGTCCAAAGACAGCCAAACTGACCAGAGGCCAGCGGTCAGGCTCAGACCAGGGCTGGGGTCTCAGGACTCCCTCTGGGTGCTCAGCCTGGGGGACTTCTGCCCTGGTCACACCAACACACTCCCGTTTCTGACTTCACTCCAGGGCCGCAGCCCACAGGCAAGCCTTCAAATGATAACGTTTTAAAACTGTAATAGAACCTTTTAGTAAAACATAAAGCCAAAAATCTAAAACAAATACCAGATCTCGTGTGCTGAAACTCCTGCTGGCCTTGACATCATCGCCCCCTAGGCTCAGCACGTCTCCCTATACGATTCCCGCATTTCCAAAAGACAGAGGAGGGCCAGCCCCTGCCTGGCTCAGAAGCCGGCCGGGCCTGGTCTGCGTCACAGCTGGCCCCAGGATAGCTCTTAGGAGAACAGCAGTTCTCAAGATACCAAGGATATTTTTCATGTAAATAGCATTATGCAGGGTCCAGGGCCAACCATTTAAATTTCTTTTTTGCCAATTGTACCACAGCCTGGAAGAAATACTAAGAAAGCATTCTTACAATTTGAGATGCCAAAGCCCAGCTGATTTTGCAACTGATACAGAAAAGAGAGGGGGCCCCACACAGAGGCCCCTTCCCTGGGGTTCCTCAGACGTTCACCAGAACCGCCCGGCCCAGGTATCAGGGGAGGGTCCTCGGCAGACATAAGCCCAGACTCTCTGTGATGAGACATGCATACCCCCAGGCTCAGGAATCCCCCACTTCCCACCGGAAGCTCCCAGAGCTTACAGCAGGTCAGCGAGTACTCATGACCTGGGGGAACCGCCTTGCTTAAATCCCACCCTAGGAGCAGCTGGACAGAAACAGTCCTTCACCACGGGGGAGCCATGCCCTTCGTCTGCCCTCCCTGCATACACCTCTTGGGTGGCAGCTACCTGTGTAATTCCAAGGGACCTGCCCCCAATTTTCCTCTGACTGGTGGGTGATTCTTCAGCTTCCTCCATCAGCCACTCCAAGACCGCAGTACGGAAGGCTCCAGAATGTGCTACAAGACCACCTGTACCAGTGGCCACACTAGGCCCAAATCAGCCTCCCATTGGCTGAGTGTCCCTTATCTGGCTGGAAATCTAAATTTGGACGATTTCAACGGCATTTTAAATGGACAATGCAGCTAGATTTTTGGATCCAAAACTTAAAGTGGTTTCCTGATACCTGTATGAAAACTCAGGGCCACTCCCGCTCGGTTCCCAGCAACTCGGCCCCCCACCTACTCACCTCATGCCAGCAGGTGGCTCCGGGTATAGCTCCCTCAGTCTTACAGACTTTAAAGCTGGGAGGCCCACGCTCCCCAATTCCTTACCACTGTCTGCCAGGGCTGACCCTCGGTCCCTCCGGCAGGAAGACTCAACCCTCGGTGGACAGGCCCACTCACCATTCCTACAGGCCGACAGGAGCCCATGTGGTCACTGTGGCTGTTCCAGCGGAAGAAGTCAGGGTAGTCGCCGTGCTCCAAGATGAACTGCTGGCCCCGGAAGTCAGGGTGATCGAAGCAGACCCAGGCTCCGCTCTCCACGCGGATAGAGTTCACTCGGTTCATAAAGCCCCGGTCCTGGAAGTTGTCACAGTCCCCAAAGACCTCCAGCTTCCTCCCCGTGAAGTGCTTGCCCTCATAGAGAGTGATCTAGAAAGGGCAGGTTACAGAGCCTGAGGGTCAGGGGCTTCTCTCCTTCAGTGTTGGAGGCTGGTGTCTGGGACTCAGCACCCTCGACGGAACCCCTACTCCCAGGCCCGCCAAAGCCCACTCCTGCTGCACACAGTAACATTATTTGCCAATTGGGCAAAAGCATGAATAGCTGGCAGACTGATGCCAAACACAGCTCCTGTTCCTTCCTACCCTTAGGAGCTCACAGTGGAGCAGACAAATTTCAACAGCGGTCTGGGGACAGGGGCTTCCCCTTTGCCTAGGTGTCCATTTCAAAATGGGCTCTTGTCAACTTCCACTGCATTTTTTAACTCATTTTTTAATTCTTAAAACATAAAGCCGATAATAACATTAAAGGAGGTGTTTTCAAAAGAAGAAACTGCACTCACAACCCTCTCGTGGTAACCCAACATATATTTTGCAGAAAGGTTCCTGGGATTGGGCCTCCTTCAATGGAGAGGCTGAATCGGCCGAAGCCGCGTCAGGGCCTGGCTCGGGATTAATGTTCTCAAAAGAGGGCTTATAAGTGCCACCCTGTCTCTCTGTGTTTTGTAGGCCACTCCTTTGGGTAGCAGGCACGTATGAGATCTGGAGCTCCATCACCCTGGTGGGAGTTCAGACATCGTGTCCTGTAGCTACGTGGTACCCACAGGTTGTCCTTGTCCCGAAACAAAACAAAGGGAAGCAATAACAACCCCCCAAACTCCTTTCCTGCTGTGGAACCTAAAACCCCAACCATTCCCTAACACTTTGGGTTTCAAGAACTGCGGCCCTACAACAGGCCTGTCAGAGCGCAGTGATGCTCCCAATCACTATGGCCGTTTGCGCCTCACCAGTGTCTCCAGTTCGCTCAAAAGAACATGAGAAATGCCCTTCCAGGCCCCTTGGAGTCAGGCGTGGCCACATGCTTTCACCAGAAAGGAGGCGGACACCCTGGTGTTCTGCACCCCAGAGTTACTGGGGCCTTTGTTACTGAAGCATCACCTGGCCCATGCGGACTGATACAGCAACACAGTCACCCCCAGACACTCTGGCATGTGGCCCTGGAGACCAGAGGCTTCATGGGAGTGGCTAGGCTAGCGGCACTGGAGAGAGGGAGGGAGAGCCACGTCTCCCATCCTTCCTGCACCAGGCAGGGCTGGTAGAGGGCCCCTGAGGCTTTCGGGGAGACCTGGGCACCAAAGGGATTCGGGGCTCCCTCAAATCTCAACATTTTTCAGAGAACCAGCCCTGAGTGTCCCTGAAGAGACCCTGAGGAAGGACAAGCCACACAGACCAGCCTTGGGCGAAGAAGCTGCAGCAGTGGGGCCGAGGGCTGTGGGACAAGCCAAGCCTCCCCCACCCCGAGGAAGCCCCAGGGAGTCTGACCACCCTCCCTGCTCCTGACTGCGAGGCCAGGGGTTGGAACCCCGGAAGGAAGGAGTGGAGACGGAGACCTTCCTATCCACCCACACTAGAAAGGCCCCAGGCCGACCCCGTTTTATTAAGAAATTGAACCAGCTTCCCTTGGGTTTGTCATCCAGCAACAGTGTGCACCCTCCTGAATCCCCTCTCACAGGGGGCGAAGGTGGGGCCCTGCCCGGTTTCCTTGGGGTTGAGGGACTCACCTTCCCCGAGCGCTGCGCCATGGTGCGCCCCGCCCCATCCGCGGGTCCCGGTTTATACCGGGCAGCGCCCTGCTGGCTCAGCGCCGCCCGGGACAAAAGATTTGCTGGGCCGGCCCCGGCGCGTTAGTGCTGTCGGGCGTGCTAAGCCCGAGGGGCCACCAGGCTGCTGAGACCCGCCGCGGCCACCCTGTGCCACCGCGAATGCAGCCCGCCCTGCCCGGGGTCTCCGTGTGCTCTCCGCGTTTAGCTCCCAGGCCTCCTTCCTCCCTGAGCCCTCCCGCCCAGCCCGCGGCTGCCCCGGTCCTGCCCTGGAGTGGTGAAGGGAGGAGTGGGGGTGTCTCTCCAGCCCTCCGGCCTTTCTTCCCCGGCGCTGCCCCTCAGCCTTCAGGCCCATCTCCCTCCCTCCCAAGACCTGTTCCGAGCTTCCCAGTCCACTCCCCTTTCTCACCTGCCTGCACGCAGTCTCACCTTGGTGCCAACTTGTCTCCGGGAGGATGCAACCCAAGCTTCCCGGACAGACAGACAGGGCTTGACCGCCCCTCCCCCGGCTGCTCTGGTCTGAGCTCCCAGGTCCCCACCTTAGACCTCCTGCTCCTACTCACCCAGCCCCTGATGCACGCCCTCCCCGTTTTCCCAAAATGCCAGGCCAGGTCAGGCCTGCCTCTCCTCCCTCTCTCTTCCTGCCTGCCTCCCTCCCTGGCACTCTCTCTCCCTGGGTCCCTCTCTCCTTGAAGATCCTGCCTAGGGTGCCCAGGTGACCCGCGCTGCCCTGAGCTGGGGGCACAGTGCTCTGCCCCTTGCCTCTCTGCTGCACCAGCCATAGCACCCTGGACGCCCAGGATCAGTTTACTGCACAAAGCAGTCCCACGGCGGAGGGAGAGTTCCCCAGAGCCCTGGACGAAGCACTTGGCAGAAAGCAGAGGCTCAGAGACTGTGGCATGAGCAGAGCGAACGGAGCCCACAGGATGTGTCGCCCCAAACGGCTGGGGAGATGAGCTGGGAACACAGGACCCATGACTCAGATGGCTGGGGTGGTGGGGGACAGGGCTCTGAGATCAAAGGAGCGGGGGCAGGTGCTCCACAGCGGGTTCTGCTGGAGAGAAGGGAGGAGCTTTGGGGAACAGTTTGGGCTGCTCTTCCCTCAAACAATAGAGTATATTTTTATGACCATTTCACAAATGAGACACTGAGGCCCAGGAAGAGGAGGTTATGTGATTCTTGGGGCAGAGGGGTGACCGTGCCTCTGCTTTGGGAGGTTTTCAGAAGTAGACAGGGCATGAACCAGAACCTGCATGTCACCCTTGAACCCGGGGACGGTCTTCCCCAGGGACACAGCCCAGCAGGCTGCCTCCACTGGCGACCTTACTTGCCAAGCCACACATTCCAATGTTTGTCTCTGGACGTGGGCCCTGGTGGGGACATAAAATTAAAAACAAAATCTCCTGCCAACCCAGAAAACTTCTCCACGAAGGTAGAAGAAAAAGAAAACAATTTTATTACTGAATAAACTTTAAACTGGAATGTGATCTGCATCACGATCTCTCCCCCCTAAGAGATCGCAAAGATGGAGAGAGATCTCACCCTTCTGCAGCCAAGCAGACACAACCCATTGCATTCATGTTTTCAGGACAAAATTGCTGATTTTCTCTATCGCTATGACTGGAGGTGGGTTTTGCGATTTGGAGTCAGGTGACAGCTGAAGTCAGGCTTCTCAGGAAACGGGGAGGGTGGCAGCATTTACTGCTTGATGTCAAGACTCAAAGAGATGGTCCTGGCTCCCAGAGGAAGCACGACTGAGTTGTTAGACTCGCAACAGGCTTGTGTAGCCATTAAAAAGATTTACACACATTTGAAAATGACAGAGAAGGAAATTCTGCAAGAAAAGGGAGGAAAGGGAAGCCTCCTCATTTTCAACAGGGAAGAGTAAGCCTTAAAAAAGGTTTTATTTTTTAGAGCAGCATTAGGTTCAAGCTGTATTCAGCAAAAGGTACAGGGATTTCCTATATACCTCCTGCCCCTCCACGCACACACACACACACACACACACACACACACACACACACAGACACACAGAGCCTCCTCCACTATCAACACCTCCATTAGAGTGGTACGATTGTCACAACCGATGAACCTATGTTATACACCGGGACACAGGATGAGAAGTTGAGAGAATGCCGCATAGGCTTTGTTAGAATAACACACACATTTGTAAAGTCTCCCCACATAATGTGGCTGATTTCTCACAGCTTACTACTCTTTGTCCCATTCAGTATATAAGTGTTTGACTCATAATGTTTTCTTTAGGTCTTCATCTCCTTAAAAGGGATCCCATGCCACATAAAACTTGTATTAAATAAGTTTGTATGCTTTTCTCCTGTTAATCTGTCTTATTTCAATTTATTTCTCAGGCCCAGCCAGGACCCTAAGAGAATGGAGGTAGAACTTTGCTGCCCCTACAGTGTAATGTCATGGTTCCACCATTAGAGCACCATATAGAGTATTCTCACTGCTTTAAAAGTCCCCTGGGCGGGCTGGGCGTGGTGGCTCACACCTGTAACCCCAGCACTTTGGGAGGCCGAGGCAGGTGGATCACCTAAGGTCAGGAGTTTGAGACCAGTCTGGTCAACGTGGCGAAACCCTGTCTCTACTAAAAGTACAAAACTAGCCAGGTGTGGTGACAGGCACCTGTAATCCTAGCTACTCGGAGCCTGAGTCTGTGAGAACTGCTTGAACCTGGAAGGTGGAGGCTGTATTGAGCCAAGATTACACCACTGCACTCCAGCCTGGACGACAGAGTTAAACTCCGTCTCCAAAAAAAAAAAAAAAAAAAAGGCCCCTGTGCTCCATCTGTTTATTCCTCTCTCCCCCTTAACTCCTGGCAACCACTGATCTTTTTACTATCTTCACAGTTTTGGCTTTTCCAGGATGTCACGTATTTGGAATCTTACAGTATGTAGCTACTATGGTTTGAATGGGTCCCCCAAAACACATGTGTTGGAAACTTAATCCCCAACGCAACAATGTTAAAAGATGGGGTCTCATGAGAAGTGTTTAGGTCATGAGGGCCTCACCCTCATTAATAGATTAATGCTGACTATAAAGGGCTACAAGATCTATCTTTTGCTCTCCCTCTCACCCTCTCTTTGCCCTTCTCCCATGGGGTGATGCAGCAAGAAGACCCTTGAAAAATGTCAGCACCATGATGTTAGACTTCTCAACCTCCAGAACTGTGAGCCAATACATTTGTGTTCATTGTAAATTACCCAGTCTGTGGTATTCTGTTATAGCAGCATAAAACGGACTAAGACAGTAAGTAGCTTTTTCAGATTCGTTTCTTTCACTTAGTAATATGCATTTAAAATTCCCTCATATCTTTTTCTGGCCTAGTCACTCATTTCTTTTTACTGCTGAATCATGTTCCATTGTCTGGAAGTACCACAGTTTAGTTATCTATTCATCAATGGAAGGACATTTTGGTTGCTTGCAAGTTTTGGCAATTATGAGGAAAGCTTCTATAAACATCCATGTGTAGATTTTTATGTGCTCCTTTCACTATACACTAAAGAGTGGGATTGCTGGATCATATGTTAAGGGTATGTTTTGTTTTGCAACGAACTGAAAATAAATAACAGCCAGGTGCAGAGGCTTGTACCTGTAATCCCAGCTACTCAGGAGGCGAAGGCAGGAGGATCACTTGAGGTCAAGAGTTCAAGACCAGCTTGGACAACATAGCAAGACCCTGTCTCTAAAAAATTCAAAATCAAATCAAATAAAAAGAAACCGTCAAACAGTCTTTCAAAGTGACTGTTTCATTTTTCATTCCCACCAGCAATGAATGAGAGTTCCTGTTGCTCCACATCCACATCCTTGTCAGCATTTGGTGGTATCAAATTTTGGATTTTAGCCATTCAAATAGGTGTGTAGTGGTGTCTCATTGTTTTAAGAGCTTTTTTTTTTTTTTTTTTTTGAGATGGAGTCTTGCTCTGTCCTCCAGGCAGGAGTGCAG